GGGAGCAATTGAAGAAGACACTTGACATTGACCTCTAGCCTTCATATGCGTGTGCATACTCATACACAGACACACACACACACACATACACACACACAAAAATGGTTTTTAACAAATGGGCAGCATACGAAGTGATATAACCCAGGTATAGAAAAATAAGTTCTGCATACTGTCACATGTGGAATAAGAAAATAGTTTTGGGGTACTCCCATAAAATTTGTCCCACTATTGAACCAGTGGGAATATCTTGCCAGGCCAGTTGTTTTAGCTCACAGGATTTACAGCTGAGTAAGGTTGATGTTTAACTTTCTCTTCAGGTAGCATGCATAATACCTTCTAGCACTGTGAAAGATAGCCAATAGACTGAGACTTTGAAGTCAGCACCAGTTTGTTTTCTTCTTGTTTGTTCTACAGCTCATATATGTAGTGTCTTCAGTAGTAGGGCCTTACTGTGAAGTTCTGGTGGGTAACCAAGAGCATTGGCAATGACCAGTATTGTTTGAGGGTCTATGGAACCCCTGGTCATTAGCTTCAAGAGAGGGAGTCCATTCCTGATATTGGGCTTTTATTTTGTTAGTCTATGGTGTCTAACAGGGGCAGTATCCCCGTATTGTGGATTTAAGGTCCTTTTTATAGGATGGATCCCATACCTGACATTGATATCAGGCCTAGGTGCCTGAGGCTAGACATAAGGAAGAGTGTAATACTATTTTTCCGCAAAATAGATAAGAGTATTAAAGCAACTCATAATGACTTACTGTTACACCCTTAGAATAATGCATCTATGAAGTCTCAGCAGAGAAGCTCCCTTATGCAGCAGATGGTGATTAACACAGAAACCCACAACTTCCCAATATGCAGAGAGCAAGAGATTCTTAAGTGCCTGAATAGTACACCCATATAAAAATCCTGCCTCCCAAGGCTTAGGGATCATTGCAGAAGAGGGAGATAAAATGTTGTAACAGCCAGAGGTGGAATGACCACAAGGAAGTAAAGTTTTACAGAGTTTGTCAGTGACTCATATGAACTCAGAGCTATGGTGGCAGCATACACAAGTCCCATCTAAACTCAAGCAAAACAAAATCGCAGCATAGACATGGGGAAGTGGGTAAGAAACCCCAACTCTACCTGAGGAAGTATTCGCAACCTATGGCTGCTCGGAAGGGCAGAGACAGTCTTTTAAGCGTGGGACTCTTGATAGGTTAACCAGGCTTCAGTGCATGGACCCACACTGAAGGACATTTGAGGTTACAAATTAGACTCTATAGACCTTATATGAGTACATCGAATTGGGCAGGGTGCAATAAGGAGAGGTGGGGTTAGGGGAGAGGACCTAAATACCCTAAAAAATTACTGTATGAAAATCACAAAAAATCAATAAAAACTAAAATTTAAAAAATAAAAAATGAATGTAAAGAGGCACGTTTTGGGAAGAAGAAGAAGAAGAAGGAGTGGTCCAGAGGGAGTGGAAGGAAGATAAGAGAGTAATGGGGTGGGCACATACGGTCACATGGCAATTCTCAGTTTTTGAGGACCCTCCACAATGACTGAACTAATGTGTGATACGTATATTCCTATGTAAACAGGTTTCCTTCTCAGCATCCTCACCAGCAGTTGTTACCCTCTGTCTTTTTTAACAATAACCATTCTTTCTGTTTTTTAAATAGTTATTATTTTTATTTTCTTGTAGCTAAAGATTTATTAACTGTTTATTCTTTGAAAATGTCATACATATATATGTATCTTCATATCCACCCCCACTCCTTCCATTCATCTCCCCAGTCTCCCCCTAACACATCTCCATCCCAAAGCCATGTCCTTTTTATATATTTTATAACCAAATTAGTCCAATTATTGCTGTCCATCTGCACAGTGTGGGGTTATACACTGCGGCATGGACAGTCTACCAGCAGAAAACCCCCAAAGAAAATCTGACTCTTCCTCTCCCAAGCCATCAGCTTCCAATAGCATTTTAAATAGTTATTATTTTTATTTTCTTGTAGCTAAAGATTTATTAACTGTTTATTCTTTGAAAATGTCATACATATATGAATGTATCTTCACTTCTAAGCCACATTGTCAAGCAGTCACAGCAATAAGTCCGTTTCTCTGTTTTAATTTTCTGTATTAGCAAATTCATCACTGTGACAAATACCTGAGAAAAATATCTTTTTTATCATTTTTTAAAAACATTTTAATAACTACATGATTAGAAGAGGCATATTTTTATTTTATGTGTATAAGTGTATTGCCTGCATATGCTTGAGTGTACCCATGTCATGCAGTGCCTGCAGAGGACAGAAGAGGGCGTCGGATTCCCAGGAACTAAAGTTACAGGATGGATGTTAGCTGCCATGTGGGTGCTGGGGATTGAACCCAGGGCCTCTGCAAGAGGAGTCAGTGCTCTTAACCCTTGAGACATTTCTCCAGCCCCATTCCCTCTATTTTTAAAATCAGAGTGCACTTAATTAAAAAAGTAGAAATTTTACATTTCCGTATTTTTTAATATAAAACGGGGCAAAAGGTAAAAAAGTGAAGCTTGTTAACAGATTAATATCTTTCCCTCCTTTAAAAGCTAATCAGCAGGGAAGAAGATGCCTTTACAAACAATTTTAAACATTTTTGATTAAGAATTTTGTACTTGCATATACTATGTTTTGATCAAATCTACTCCTCTCATTCCCTCCCCTCCAACTCCTCCCTCATAATACTCATTAGAGTGAGGTGATATTTCATTGTGGTTTTAATTTGTATTTCTCTGCTATTGAGCTCTTTTTTTTTTTTTTCCATGTACTGGTTGATTGTTTCTCTGTCGTTTAAGAAATGTCTTTTAAGATCTAATGAACATTTTAAAGTCATGTTTGCTTTGTTCCACTGATAATGAGTTTTTGAACTTCCTTGTGTGTTTTAGATGCAGCCCCTGTCAAATGTATAGTTTGAAAATATTTCTTCTCATAAATATTTTGTCTACACTGATGGTTGTTCCCTTTCTGGTGCAGAAGCCTTTTATTTTAATATCCTATTTGTCTATTTTTCCAGTGTTTTGGGGTATCTGCTCCAAAAGCTCCTTGGCCATTCTCATGCCCTTAAGTGTTATTCTTCTAGTTTGTTTCAGGACTTATATATCAATCTTTAATCCACTTTGAGTTTGTTTTTGTAACTTATGAGCGCTTGAGAACCATGGGTGTCCCTCCTACCTTATTTTGAGATACGGTCTTGCTATATAACCAATAGCTTCATACTTAGAGTCCTCCTGACTTACTCTCTGCATAGAGATTATGGGTGTGCCCCCACCAGGCCCAGAAGTGGGATTGTTTCTTACATGTAAAGACTAATCAGAGACATTATTCTTTCCTTGGGAATAGGTTTTAGTGAATAAAGTGATTTATTTATAATAGTGACCAATTATCTGTCCTACCCAAGTTACATTATTTATTATCCTCTAAAACCAATATACCTGTAAAAAGCTATAAAAGGCAGTGGAAGTAGTAATTGTGTTGGACTTCACTGTGGAAAAAGGCACTCATGATCTTTATGGTATCAATAGGGGCAGTTGAGTTAGTTGCCAAATGAATTTTAGTAGTGTATTATTCATTGTATTCTAAGCTAAAAGACCTCAACTAGTCTCTAGCTTCTAGTTTAAATTGAAAACATCTCGGGGTTTTTCACATAGAGACTGTAGCAGGCACTTTGTTAGCTTTTTGAGATCAGCTTGGTATATATTCTTTCCCAAGGCCTATGTATACTTTCATAGGACTTCAAGACAAGTAAGAGTAGGTGGTGTCCCCTGGCAGAAGATCCTAATACTACATAATTTATACTTAGAATGTTTGCTTTCTTGTGTGTAGCTATGTGACAAGATGTGATCTTGCAACAGTGTTGATCATTTTTAGACTTGCTTTAGGTATATATCCTAGCTCTGTTTTGAAAGTCCTTGCCAAGTGTTTACTTTTCTTAAATAAACTGCTTTAAACATCAAGAATACTGTATTTGAACTGATACATTCATTGTTTAAAGTACTGATTACTTTCTTAGTTGAAAAATACTTCTGTCAAAGGAAGCTTCCTGCTTTTTTGCACTATTTATATCTCATTGCTTTCTGAATAACTAGAGAGAACAAGTGGATGAATGGTGATCCATGCAGTATGTCTGCCCTCAGTTGGTATGGCAATGATGTAAACAGAAACAGAATGAGAGCCTCATTGTACATTTAATGTGTCATATTACTCATTTCTGGATGCATTGCTATTTAATTGCTTCTATTCTCGATCATTAAATCTCATAGTACTTCCCCCACTTAGTTTAGTAACCTCAGTTGTCAATGTATATGTTTCTAATTAGGGTCCAGGGATGTCTAAATTTTAAGTTCAATTGAACAAAAAGTAGTTACATGGTAAATCAAAATTTAAGAGTGTTGAATTATGCTTTATTAATGAAAATTATCTTTTCATTGTCTACTATGTGACAATAATTATCCATCCTTTTGTTCCATTATACCAGGACTGTATCCAGCACAGTTTTGAATGCTAGCACTAGATTTTATTCTTTTGATAGACAAGGAAAAAATTTTCAATGTAAAATACCACATATAAGCCAGATGGTCTTACCTTCCTCCCAGTATGTCTGTCCTAAAATTCTCAAGAGAAAATGGTTTCAAAAATTATTTTCATGTCTAGATTGTAAGTAAAATCACTTGTCATACATGAATTGCAAAGTGCAGACCTTCGTTCTGAAGCTGCCTGTTTCTCATTTGGATCTGACATATTAAAAAGCATATAATTAATGGTTGACATTAGTAATTAACATTAACTTTATGGTGCTTAATATGCCATCATTCATCCATCAAATAACAAGAAATGCATTATGCCTTGGCATAAAGGTTTTAATTATATAAAATGGCCTTTCAGTTTTTATATGATATAAATGAGAAAAGAACTATATTGAGAAGAGACTTCTTTGAGCATTTCTTGGGTGTTAACTATATTTTTATTTCTTTTTAGGAGTATTCATCAACAATTGTGTCGGGAACTTCAAAGGGAGAATGTGGACCTAATTGTTCAGTCCTCATTGTTGGCTAAAGAGCGCCACCTTGCTGCAATTGCCAGTGCACTGTGGAAACACTTCTTTTCATTTCTGAAGAGTCAGAGAATGGCCCCAATCACGCCTCTCTCACAACTTGCAGATGTGGCTGCAGGTCAGTGTTCATCGTGACTGTTCATTCCTTTCTCATTCTGCAGATGCTTTGTCAGTATTCCCTCTGTTTGCCTAGGGACAATGTCTTGCTTTATAACAATATAATAAACATTGTGACAGCCAGAATGATGAAATAAATGACATATTTTTAAATTGGGCTTCTTTGGCTTGTATCATAAAAAATGAAATGATTATTTGTTTTAAAAAAGGGCGTTTTCAGTCTTAGGCATATTGAATGTTCTTAAGTTTTTGTATAATGCACAAGTATTTCAAAAATAATGTAGCATTTTAGTATCTAATTCAAGCAGTATGCCTTCAAATTTTATGAACAGATCTATATAGTTGTAGATCATTTTTATAAGGAGCTAAAGAATATAGAAGAATTTATCTTCGGCACCAAGAAGATAAAATCAGGATCACGTTGAATATATATATAGACTGCTGTTGTTGTACTTCCTCTAGATTCTATTTTAGGTTGGAATGCTTATTTAAATGACCCAAAGACATGTTCTCAGGATTTTAGATAATTCTGAATAAAACTGGTCAGATTTTGAATATATGAGTATACATGTGGTATATTTTTTTCAAAGGGATATTGTGCCCAAAATACGTTAAGAAGTTCTGGAATAGCCAGATTAATATTGTTACTGCATGTGTTTAAGTAAAGTTTGTTTAAAAGGGTTTTGTATATTTAAAAGTAATGCTTTAAACAAACATACAAACGTAAGGCCTAGTTAAGCATTTGTTTTACCCTGAGATAAATAAGAAAAGATGAGCCAAAAGTAGCTATGTGAAAGATTAAATGATTAAAATCTGAAAAGAAGTTGAAATCTTATAGCAATTTAGTAATAATTAAGACTTTACGCAACATAGATGGAAGACTTGTGACCAGGCAGTGGTTGCAAGTACTGTAATATCTGTAAAAATAAATATTAGTATTCAGTGAATTGAACCAAAGCAGTCACTTAATAGTGTGACTTAACCTTTTTTAATTTGTCATCTTTAATCTTTAATCTGATTGATTCCTAGTCAATCATCAAACATACTATTCCATCAGCAGTCAGTATTGTCTTAGATTCTGAAAATCAATGGTGTATAAATGCAAAATGAAAGGTGTTGATTTTGGATTTGATTTGAAATAGACTTAGATTAGGAGAAAATGATTTCCTGTATTGAAGAAAAAGTCACTACTGTCTTGTAGGCACTAGGGATATGCCAGTAGGGAAAAGACAAAAACAACAGTATCCTGTTCACATAAAGGCTATCTATCATCTAGTGGGAAATGGAGCCAAAGATAGTTTTTCCTTTTTTTTTTTTTTTTTTGTTTGTTTGTTTGTTTGTTTGTTTTTTGGTTTTTTTAAAGAGTGTTTTGCTGTATAGCACAAGCTAGCCTGGAACTTGTGTTATTTCTGCCTCAGCTCCCCAAGTCTGGGATTATTGATGAGCATGACCATACCCAGCAAAAAAACATTTAAAAAATGTTCAGTAACTTAGATGGTGATAAGTGAAAATACAGAGAAAGCTGAGGGTGGGAAAGGCTACAGGTAGGTTTCAGCTTTAAATAATGGTCAGGCAAGGCTGAGTAAGTTTAACATCCGAGCAAAGTCTTGAAGGGGGTGAGAGGCCTCACTGTTCAGATTCCTAGTAAAGAGCAATGTTTGAGGGACTGAAGGAAAAGCAGTAAAGACTTGTGTGGAGTAAGAAAGGGTTAGAGAAATCAGAGATGTGGTTAAGAAGAAATGGAGAGCTAGTTTGTGTTCTGCCTTAAAAACCTTGCAAACTTCTGCTTTTACTCTTGAGATTAGACGCCATTGGTATTTTTTCAGAGGGAAACATTATTTGGGCTGATGAGGATTCAGGAGGCAAGGAGAGAACTAAGGAGGCAGGTAGGAAATTATTCCAGCAACCCAGAAATGAGTAGCTTGGCCAAAGTGGTTATCTCTAAAAGTGAAAGTATTTTGTAGGTAGAACTGGCAGAATTCACTAAACAAATAAGGATAGATCATCAGAATACTTCATGAGATGATTATGGAAGGGAGAGAACACATTTAAGACAGTAAACTGGAGTGTCTTAATTTTGGAGGGGTTTTGATGTTATGTTTTTTGAGTTTTCTTGTTTTGTTTATTAAGATATCAATTAAAGTCCAGTAGATAGGTTAAGTGGGAACTTGGAGCTTAGGTGTATAAATAGAGTTTAAAGCCAAGAAACTGATTAAGCTCTTCATTTGTATAAGAATGACTCAAGAGAGAAAAGTGTGGATCTGTCCACAGTATCTTTCTGTTAAAATTTGAAGCTAAGGAGAAATAAGAAGGCACACTATGAAGAAGTGTAGGTGAGTGAAAACAAGAACGTGTGAAGCACTGGAAACAAGAAAGAAGAAATGTTAACAGTTCAGTAAAATGACACCTGACAATTGATCATTGGCACAGCGGTTCACATCTTTAATCCCAGTACTCAGGAGGCAGTTCAGGCAGGTACTGTAAGATTGTGAGATCAAAGCCAGCCTGGTCTACGTAGTGAGTTCCAGGCCAGCTGGGGCTATATGGAGACCCTGTCTCAAAAAAAAAGAGGGAAACTCAATGGTGAACTAAGGAATGGTTGGTGGTGGTGGTGTGTGTGTACTATGCATGCATGTGGGTGTGGGTAGGATTACTCATGTGGAAGTCAGAGGAGATGTCGGATGTTTTCCATGGCTCTGCTCTTATTAAGTTCTCTTACTGAACTGGAAGTTTGCCATTTCAACTAGGCTGGCTGGCCAGTGAGCTCTGGGAACCACCCCAAGCATCAGCATTATAGGCATACCCTGCTTTTTATGTGGGTGATCAATATTTGAACCTGCTTGCATAGCAAGCACTCTTACCCACTTACAGGCCATCTTCCCCAGCCTTGAAGAATGTTTCTTAATATCAGAAAATCAGTGTGTTGATTGAGTGAAGATAATTAAAGAATAAGAATATGAAAAGCATTTCAGATTGCAAATGTAGATAGATCCTTTTAAATATCTGTATTAATATATTTTAAAATAATTGTTAAAGGAAGCTTGTATATAATAGGGGGAAATGGAGTCAAGGAAAAATGCTCGGTTTTGTTTTCAAATTACATGGGAGAAATTTAAGTATATTTACATTTTATATACTGAGAGGAATGTCCAAATTAAAGGAAGATTTCATGGTGCAAAAAAGTCCCCTTCATTTTAGTGCCAGAAGATGAGAGATCTCAGAAGACTTGGCCTCAGATCATTTATAGTAGCAGAAGAGAGGTTAGGGCAAATTGGTCCAGATGGAGGCAGCTGATAAAAGTGGTAAGAACCTATGATAGTTCCCATCTGTTTTTTAGCTCTCTGGGAAGCAGTTAGTAGGCTCTTAGCTGAACGTGAGGAGGGACAGGGTGCTGACTGTGGATAAAGAAAGAAGGTGTGCACTCAGTTCCCTAGGAAAATAAAAGACTGACTGCACTAGAGAAACACAGTAGGGAGAATGGCCGGTTAGAAGGGCCTAGTGGAAGTTTGTGGCCAGTCAGTATTGTTCTCCAGCCATTTGTACTGATGTAGGTTAAATTCATGAAGGGAGAATTAAACAGGTAATGTTTATTTCTCTCAAAGTGCAGTGAATCAAAGAAAGAGCAAGGCAGGGCCTGGTTGTATCTGTTTGGAGAGTACATGTACCTTACACAAGACCTTAGCATCAGTCTCTCATACTTCGGGAAACAAACGAAAAAAGAAAGGAACAAGCAGTTAGTGATATATACAAATGTGTATAATAATGGACCATGCCATCACACTACCTAAAGAGGGAAAGGAAGGTGTGAAGGTGAGGGGGAGGGGGGCAGAGTTATGCAGTCGACAAATCTTTATATAATCAAGGAGCTGTTGGAGTTCAGGTCCTAGGAGAGGGCAGCTGGAAAACAAATGTATCAAACCTGGGTCTTTAAAAATGAAATTATGCTGAGATTATAATTGTTAATCACAAGTGCTTTGGGTATTACTGTGGGAATGAGTGGATTAAGTATAGTAGAGGATATATTCATTGGAAGAGAGGAATTCCAAAAAATCAAGAATTGCTAATAGAATACGTGCTATAATTGAGGGGATGTGAGCTTGGAAACTGTAGGTAAGTGCAACAGAAATAGTTTGTGACTCTTACAATCTGGTGACATATATGAGATCCAAAGCTAGTGGTTTTAGGAAAGAAGAAGTAAGAATAGTCATGTAAACTACCCTGTGTACGTCCAGTGGTATGAGGGGATTGGAAGAATAAACAGCCATCATTTGACAGAGCTGCATGGGAGTCATTGCTTCATAAACAGTTGACTGGCAAGCATAAGTCAATAAAAAACAAACTGAGTTGATGGATTTCTAGGAAAACACAAAATAGTATTTGCTTAGCAGGATGAACTGAAGAATTCTAGTTCCTAGATTATGGGTTCTAAGAAAGTAGTCTCATTGGCTGGGCGAGGTGGTGCATGCCTTTAGTCCCAGCACTCAGGAGGCAGAGGCAAGCAGATCTCTGTGAGTTCAAGGACAGCCAGGTCTACATAGTGAGTTCCAGGACAGCTGGGGCTACAGGGAGACCCTGTCTCAAAAAAACAAAGAGAAAGTGGTGTCATTGGTTATAGGAGGACACTATTAGAAGAAATGTCTGGTATCTAAAATGAACATGACCTGTTTACCTGCAGCGGGTTAGGTAGAGAAGGGTAGATAGGTGCTGGGAGTACTGCTAGCCAGGTCTTCAAATAGTGGAGGCTTGTTTGTAAGCCCTCTAGCTTGATCGGATGAAGTCATCATCTAATTATAACACTAAGATAGATGATTTTCCGCCTTTTCTTGGTAATCTAAATGATGCTATAGAAATTTGACAGCATGAATTGAGTTGTTTTAACCCTTTTTCTACATTTCTAAATGTGACATTTTATTTGGTGCTTTTCAAGTCACTGTGTAATGTGGGGGGTAAGGAGACGAAAGAAATTTTGAAGACTTTTCACCTGAAATTTCTCTCATTTTAAATATAGATTTTACTTTGCTAGCAGTGGACATTCCCAGCACAGCTCCATCAGATCTTCAGCCTCAGCCAGTTATATCAATAATTCAACTTTTTGGTTGGGATGATATCATCTGGCCCCAAATTGTAGCAAGATATTTAAGTCATTTACTACAAAATAGGTATGTACCCTTATTTCAGATATGTGCCTTAGTCTGTACCCTGACAAATTAGTACCCTGAAAAGTAGGAGTTTGGTTTTGGGGTTTTTTTTTTGTTGTTTTCGTTTTTTTCCCCAATCAACACTGATCTTTACTATGCATTCTCTTACTTTGGCATTAACATTAACTAGATAGTAATAGTAGGTAGTATGAAACCTTATTTATGGGGCTTGATATTTTTTTGTAATTGTTGCAAGTTAATGCTTTCTGTAAGCCCAACTTACCCTGAAGTGACCTTTCCACATTCCCTAGAGAGAAAAAATTATGTAAGCATCATTCTGCATCAGTAGAACACTAGTACATTATTTCAGATTTAGGCCTAGAAGTTTGACTCTTGTGAGACCACGGACAAGGAACTTCACCTGTATCATTTCTTTATCCACATCTCCTGCCCCATTATATAGAAAGTCTGAGGAACAACCTCAGTAATATGTAGATATAGATATATAAAATAAAATCATAGAAATAGTATAGTATGATGTGGGAAATTTAAGTAACGGAAATAAGATCGCCATCCTACAAGATCGGTGTAGTTCTTCTGTCAATGAATGTGACGAGTGAGGTGTTTAGAGAGTTAGTTGTTTTTCTGAGATTAATTAATCAGCATCATTAAGTGTGTTTTCTCATTGGTCTTTTAGTAAAAGTAAGAATAGTGTAAAAGAATTCAGCTTTGGATTGCTTTTAAGGATTTTTTCTAATATAGAATTCTATAATAATAATTAATATTTATATTATGAAATACTTGTCAAAATAATTTCTGGGGTTTTCTTTGGGTTTTTTTGTTGTTTATTTTTTTGTTTTTGTTTCTGTTTTCTCTTCAATCACTCAATTAACATATAAGTCCTTAGGCCCCAAAGTAAAGACCAATTTGTAAAACTGATCCATTTACTTTTTCCTAACAATTTAATGACTACTCTTGATAACTATATGTATTGTAAGGCTGCCTGGTGATATTCAGAACCTTCAGAGAATGGTGGTTTTCCTGACTGGTTTGTAGTCTTCAGTCATGATTAGGAGTTACTTGTATGAAACCCCTATCAAACCAGCAAGACCACAATTGTGTATACATTGTTTTCGGGGTTGTTGGTGACTTGGGCATATCTCCCCCAAATGACCTTGGGTTGCAAGGCCCAACTCCCTCACATTCACTTCTGTAACTACCTTTGCTGGTGACACCAGAGTTGTATATAGTGGGGATTATGGATTCTCTTTCATACCAAGTATTGCTTTCAGCTTAGGATGTGTTACATGGACCTTCTTGAAACATCAGCCTGTTGGCCTAATGAACCTTGGGTTTCTCATAGAACCATCACCAAGAAACATTCTAGTAACCATCCTCTTAAATGCTTTTTTCCCTTTTCTTTCCTGTAAATATCTTTTAATACTTGGATTTTTTCCTGTCCTCCTTGGTGTGGATTTTGGGCAGAAGGACTTCCCGTTTTCCTGTCTTCTCTCTTGCTTTCTTCACTTAAGCATGTTAAAGTAGTTTTTCCTAGACTGGACTTCTGTCTCGCAGAAGTCACTGTTCCCTGCGGAGTCTTTTTGTCGTTCTTTTGTTTGATGTTTCTCCTCGTGTACCTTGGTAGTGTTTTTCGTCTGTGTTTTCTCAGCATGGCACTGGTTGTCATAGAGAGCTTGGCCTGCACCTACCTTATTTTCCTTTCTTTCTTCTTTTCTTTCCTTTTTCCTTTCCTTTCCTTCTTTCAACATTCATAAGCCTCTCAACTTTCTCTTTTTCTCATAGTCATCCAAATGATATCCATAGCATTTCTAGTATAAATTAATATATTCATTTTATAGCATGAGGACAGTCTCAGAAACACCTGACTCAGCTTAGTAGTATTTATTTTTAAAATAACAGGTTTATTAGAAACAGTTGAGCAAACTGAAACACAAAGTTTTAACTAGCTTTGGAGAAAGTTCTGTAGGTACTAAGTAGCCAATCTGTGCTTTTCTGTATTGTATTTTCTGTATTTTTTTAATATTTCATTATTTTTATTCTATGTGTATGAGTATATTGCCTGCATGTATGTGAGTGCACCCATGTTGTGCATTGCCGCAGAGATCAGAAGAGGGCTTCGGATTCCCCTGGAACTGGATTTAAGGTGGTTCCTAGCCACCATGTGGGTGCTGGGAATCGAACCCAGCTCCTCTGCAAGAGCAGTCAGTGCTCTTAACTGCTGAGCCAACTCTCCACCCCATATTTTCTGTATTTTTATGACAACTCCTACTCAGAATGTTTTAGGCATCATTTTTAGAATTGTGACTTATGTGCATTTATAAATTGTTTTAGGGACTGGGGCTTAGTGGGTCAAGCACTCGTTATGCAAAAATGAGGACCTCATTTTGGATCCCCAGCACCCATACAAAAGTGCAGGTTTGTATGGAGACTCAGATTACAGGGGATTGCTGACAACCCAGAAATGGCAAGCTCTAGGTTCAGTGAGAGATCATGTCTCAAAGAGTTAGATGGAAAAGTAATTGAGGAGGACATCCCAGTATCAACTGCTGCTCTCTACACATGGACACTCACACACTGCATACACACACATCAAAACAAAAAGGAAAAAGTTGTTTTAACTTTGCATAATGCTATGTTTAGGTATAAAAGCATCCCCATCATTTCTACCCCCTCTTAGATTAGAAACCAAATTTGGCTAGGAGTCTGGTATAATAGAAACAACATCTTTTAATTGCTAGAATGGTGTTGTATTGGAAATTTCTGTGAGATAATCTTTGTTAATGAATGCTTATAAAGTGAAGAAGAAAAGAGATGGAGATGATATGATTTGTCAGGAAACATGTAGAAATATATTTTGTCTTTAAGGATTATTTTTTTACCCATGTGGTCATGACCTCTTTTGTTTACCATTTTGGTTTTTTTCTTTGTTGTTGTTTGGTTTTTTTTCTTTCTACTTGCCTGTTCATTTTTTATTACATTGCCAACTAGCTATAATCTTCTTGCTATTCCCACATTAACATACTCTTTAACTTTTCTCTTAGCATAAGCCTACAGCATGTACATCATCACTGGGAAAAGGAAAGTTAAAAGTCACAGTATCACAAATGAAAACAAAGTCTAACATAACTTTCTGTGCATCTGTAGTATTCATTTTCAGCATGTTTGTAGTGCTGTGTTCATCTTAAAAGTACGTGAACCCCGAGCATTGCCTAGAGGACTTGGGAGAATTTGTTTCTTTAAAAGCTCTGTTCTCAGACTATATATCCCATTTCATTTTTGTTTTTTAATGATACTCATTTTTTTTTTTACAGCACATTATGTGAAGCACTTTCTCATTCAAGCTGTGTATCTTTTCAATCTTTAACTATAAGATCATGGATCCGTTGTGTTTTACAAATGCATGTAAAAAACCTTTCTGGGCCTGATGACTTGCTCATTGATAGGAATCCTGAGCAGGCAGTGGGTAAGTGTCCTGTACTATTTTAGCCAGCCATTAAGAGTGTATCTTTGGAAAAGTTTTTGCTTTTTTTTAGTATTAAGTAAATTAGTACAAAATATGCAAAATATATTTATAATTGCCGTACATGTGTCCAGACATTTACTTCCTTTTAGAGCCTGTTCCATTCCTTTTTTTTTTTTTTTTTTTTTTTTTTTAAGCTGCACATAGCAAATCACCCTGCTATAAAGATGAAAGAACTCACTTTTCTGGACGCAAAGAACAAAATCTTGCTCCTCAGGTGACACCCTTTTTTGTTTACCCTGGGGAAAAAAGCCAGTCATATACAAAAACAGAAATCTGATGTGTATATAACCCCATATCACACTGAACACCCTAAAAGAAGAATATCCAGCTTTGGATACAACCCCCTTTTTTTTTTTATCAGATATTTAGATTTCCCTTCTAAGGACCTTTTTGTAGAGCTATTGTTTATAGCCACTTACACATTTCATACAGGCTGCCCTGAAAAAGGTTGTAATTTTTCTCTGAAGTCTTATTTGATTTGTTGACTTGCCTAATAACCTTTCAGATTATATCATAAGTGAGAAAAGCCTAATTCACTCTTGAGCTTTGTGAAAATTTTGGTTTTAAAAGAAAACGTGTCATAAATTAATAATTCTATATTCCCAGCATATATACATATGTTCAACTTATATAAAACTTTATATGAGTTTGCATAATAAACAAACTTTTTATTTATTTTATTTTAATAGAAAAAGAGTACATGGACCAGCTGGCTGAAATGACACGGCTACTACTTACACTATCAGAAGTAAAGAATATTTTTTCAAAGGCTCAACTTGAATATTTGCCCAGCCCAGAAGACCCTAAAAAAGTACTTGTTCAGTTCCTTGAGGTATTTTTTTCATTTATTGCTATTATTGTCCAGATCAATGATAATTATTTTTCAGAAAATCTTGCAATGTTGTTTTCCTATAAAATGAATTATTTTAACTAGAATTGTATTATTGGTTGTCTGATTATAAAATTCTGGAGGAAGAAGAGCGACTAAGGTATACCACAGCTCACTCTTAAAGATAACAGAAAATTCATATTTAATGAAGAATAATAAAACTAAGAAATAGTTCATAAAAGATTTACTCCAAGGCCTACTGAAATTATTAGATGATCTTATTGCTGACAGTGTTCTTCTGGTATTTGGGGACTAACTTCATTTACATAGGGTCCATGATAGTTCAAAGGGAACATTTACTACCTATAGCAAAACTATAAACCAAGCTTCAGTTTCCTCATACATAGTGTGATGAGAACTAAGTCTAATCCATCTCTTTTTGTTCTTCTTCATAACAGGGAGTCTCATTCCAAATTTTGTTTTTAATTATTAATTTTAAAGGAATATGAATTAGTATTTATTACATGAGTCTAGTTGAAACTGTTGATATGTTTGGATTAGTGTCTTTTATAAAGTATTCACAATAAAAGTTGGTTTACATTTCCAGAGCAGTTGGAATTAACTACAACGAAAACAATTGCAGCCAATAAGCTATTTCCATTATGCTAATTCCTTCATTGATTTCCATCAAGTTAAAATACAATTGTATAACAATTAGAGATGCCTATAAACTCTAATAATATTTAATAATAGTTTAGTAATATCCTAATGTAAAGTATACATTGCTGTTGAGAACATTATTTAGTTGTTGAGTTTGTACCCACACTTCTGGGTCAAAAAGGAGAGGGAGAAGACAAGTGTAGTTAAGTCTTCTCTAACCTAATCCGGCCCAAATGAAGTTTTCTTTTTATAAATAAATCAATGATAAATTTTTGCTACATGCTAAATAGTATTACCTAGGACTGCTTGGGGATTTTAGAAACCTAAAGTTGTCTTTGATCTAAGAATATAAGACACAAAAGTTAAAATAATGGTACAATCCATTGTATGCTTAGTGACAATTTGTTGTTAGATCCATCAGTATACAAAATGAATAAATGACTCCAGAATTTCTTGGTATAAGGTGTTTGGAATTTATTTGGTGAAAAATAGGAAATTTTTAAATGAGCTTGATTTGGTTAAATGACTTTTTGTGAAAATTAGTGACAATAATGTAGATTAAACTAGAGAAGAAGCTACTGGCCAGAAACTAAGGAAATTTAGGAGGAATTGAAGGTTGAGAACATTTCTCCTTGGGGTAGAGAAGTAAGCAAAGGATTCCCTGTATGTCAGCTGTCCTCAGCCTCTCATAGGACTCACCATATACCCACCATGATCTATTACATAATGCAGGGAAAAGGTACATGGGGCAAAATGTGGAGAAACCTAAAATTCCATGAGTTGTTTCCCAGTTAAGTTACACAGAACATGTGTCATTCTGCCAGCAAGGAATTGTGACAAGACACCAAGTTTTGTCTATGAGAGAAACTTACTAGCACTCACTATCCATTGCTGGTTACATACATTCCCTTTGTCTTAAATTTGGAGAATTCCAGCTTGCAAAATGAAGCCAAATATTTAATATAAAATATGCTACTTGCATGGATATTTTAGGACTCGTGAGCCATTTTTATAAGTAAGAAGCCCCCACAAATCTAAAACCCAAAACACCAACTAAAGCCCCTTCTTGCACGTTTTTTTGTTTTGTTTTGTTTTGTTTTGTCTTTTTGAGACGGTCTCCCTGTAGCCCCAGCTGTCCTGGAACTCACTATGTAGACCAGGCTGGCCTTGAACTCACAGAGATCCACCTACCTCTGCCTCCCAAGTGCTGGGACTATAGGCATGCACCACCGCGCCTGGCCTCTTGCACACTTTTGAAAGATGTCAGTGTTGTGCCTAATATGTTAACTTTTAAAAATGATAGTATGATTGATATATAGGTACACACACAAAAATACACATACACATATGTACATATATGTGTAGTTATAATCAAAAGTACTAAGAAATATATATGTTTTAGTCTAGAAAAATTAAGGCTAAACATAATTACTAAGGTACTAAGGGCACTGATTTTCAAAAGTATGATTCATAGATTCCTGGGAATTAACTGAATTCATTCAAGAGGTTCTACCTCCTCAAAACTATTATGACATTTGCACAAACATGCAGGGGTGTTAGCATGAACCAACACCATGGCCTAATACTATACTAATATCCATTAGCTTTTATACTTTTTTGCGATTACAGAAAAGTAAAGCTACTTCACTAAGGAATACCCTTCGGTACGGAGTAAAATTATTGTCATCAATTTTCAATCCTTAAGCGCAAGTCCTTTTAATATTCTACAAATAAAAATGCAAAGTGCATGTAAAGTACTTAGACTGCGTGTCAAAACCATGTGATTATCTAAATAAAAAGACTTGTGTTGGTACTTGAGTTGACTCCTTTTATCTTGAAAGAATAACTGACAGAATATGATTATTCAGACTTGAGTATTTGGCAGACAATATTTCTTTTAGAAATGAATGAAGTAAGTAAGCCTATCACTTCAAAGAAAACAACTGACAGTTTATGTTGCTAATAATACAGCTCAAGCTTTCAAGAAAGTTAGAATTTGGAAAAACTTACATTAACCTTCATAAGCTGAGTACTTCCTGATATTTATAGACTTTTCTGATAAAAATGGTGATGGTATCAGTGCATATCATTTTTTTCTAGAATGGATATTGAAATATGGCCAAATTTGGAAGCAGCATAATGGAGTAAAATTGTCCAGATGACTGATACATACTTTTTAGCAAGCATGGGTAAACAGTTATTCAGATTACGAGATACACCAAACCTTCTATTGACGTAGTTGTAGATACTGTGATTCTTCAGTATCTTCCACTTATTTACGAGCCTCTAAGAAATGCCACTTGCAAAGTTTGATATAATAGCAAAGAAAAATTCCCACAGTTGCTTGAAAATTTTCTCAAAATATTGTTTCCAGGTGTGTGTGTGAGACTAGACCTTTTTCATCCACTCACCACCTCCTGCTGCACTCTCCTCTTCCCCTCTGCTAGTTCCTTTCCTCTTCTTAACTAGTCCTCTTCCAGCCTCCTCGTCATATATGAAATCTAGTTTCCTAACAGGCAAATATAAACTAAGTAATATAAAGCTTATCCAGATATTCATGTCTTAACATGTACAGGAGAACTGAAATCAAAAACTTGAGAACGTCTTACCGAAGAATGACAACGTTAAAGGTTATTAAATAAATAATTAAAATAAAATAACCATGACAAAATAAATAAATTCATGCTTGTTACAAAAAAAGAAAAGCTAAATAGAAAGGAAGGTTAAGACGGTACATCTCTTGTTCTCATTTGCCCATCTCACAGTCACTCATTTGGGTTCACTTTTATTTCATTCCACATTTTATTAGCAAGGTGGGCAATTTTAATGTCACGGTAGATAACCACCTTATGCCCCAGTTCAAATCTTCTCCAACAAACTTCCAGCAATCTTCATTTCTGTATTTAAGCTACCTTCCTCTGTTACTGAGCCTGATATGACATCATTTAAAGTTTCTGAAAGTTTACCTGCCACCGCCTGTCTCACCAGCTCTTTGTGATGATGTGACTTTCCACTTCTTTTATGTTCACCAAGCTGTGCTTCCTCTTAACTCACCTTAATTAGACCTCTTAGCTTCATGTCAGCTACTCTTAACAATACTCTCAGAATCTCTGATCCTTTATTGTTTGCTCAACCTTGGGTCAGTGCAGCCACCTACACTCTCTCCTTTGGCTTATCCACTAAGAGCTGGGAAAGGGGGATCATCTAGCTGTGTATATTTGTGTCGTTCATGGTCTCAGTGTAGGCCATTGAAATCCTTTGAGTTCTCAAGGTAACTTGAAAACTTTCTCTCAAACTTTCTAGCCCTTCTCTGTAGTTATTGCTTGATTCTTTTTGGCTTCTTACAACCTGTTTTATCTCCCCTTACTACTGAATTGATTGTGTTTATTATTTACTTCTCTTGCCTTTCTATGCTTTCTTTTACTGCCTTCGCCTCAAATATCTGTTGACCATTTCTTGGTTTTTCTATCTAGGCTTTCAACCATATCCCCCCTCCCCACATCCTCTACTAAGAACATAAAGCTAACTAGCTGATGGCCTATAAAGAAAATTTTTTAAAATTGTGAATTGTAGAGGGACAATTCATACTCTGAAGTTGGAATAAAGAGATTTTACTTATAAGAAGCAAATCTTTCTTGTAGGAATTTAGGGATTTCTAGTCATATGAAATATGAACTAACCTGTTTAAAAACCTTTTAGGTGATCAAGTTCTGAGCTTACTCAGTTTGATGATTCTTATCAATAACTTTGCTAAACTGGATGCAGGTGAATTGATTTAATTTTTTTTTTCTTTAACCTTTAAAAGGCAAAACTTTTCATTCTTTTCATTGAATTTTAATTGCTATGAATCTTTATTGGAAATTTAAGGCTGAAGGCCCAAGTATTTCTATAAGACAAAACTTTTCTTTCTTTTCATTTTATTTTATTTGCTATGTATCTTTATTGTAAATTTAAGGCTGAAGGCGCAAGTATGAGGGGAGGGTGTGTGTGTGTGTGTGTGTGTGTGTGTGTGTGTGTGTGTGTGTGTGTGTGTGTAGAGAAAAATAGTATTTAAAGTCTGTATTGTATAAGACTTAGAAAGTTAAATCATATTTTCCTTTATTTATAGGCTGTTGGTATCACTTATAGGACTCTCGAAACACTTTCTGATAGATCTGCCATGGTCACAAAGTCCTTAGAATACCTTGGTGAAGTACTAAAATACATAAAACCTTATTTGGGAAAAAACATTTCCAGTGCAGGGCTGCAGCTGACTTACGGGATAATGGGTATGTATTTCTGTCATGTTTTACTATAAACATTTCCTTATGTTAAGCCTATGGTATCTTAACTCTATGTATGGTTACAAGAAATAATATGAAATACAATGATTTAGCTTAAAATAGTGAATGTCGGCCTTCATAAATGTGTTGTACTTTCGTTGGTAGTAAAATTAAGATCATTACAGAAAGTATACCATAACGAATTGCTGTCAGTATTCTTTTGTAAGTCACATTGTGCATACCTAAATTACTGGCAAGAACCTTTTATTATTGTTTATCTAGTCTTTGTTAGGATTCAAAATATCACATTATTTTTTTTATGGTCTTTTCTGTATAGAGGTCAGGAGAGAATCTAACAGCACTAAAGATATTTATGCTTTAGATCTTATTTCTCACAAAACTATGTTTTCTCATTTCAAAAAAGGAATTTTTTTGTGCTTGCTCTGTAACAGTGAGGTTCATCTTTCTCTAGGAAATCAGTAATTTGAATATCTTTGTTGACTAAGCTGTGTTGCCAACCAAAAATAGGAACTGGATAAAGGGAAATGAGAATGATTTTCTTAGAAGTTTTTATATAGGATTCAAATTTTTCTTTTTGTTTTGTTTGTTTTTATTTCTCTGTGGCCAAAGCCTTATATCTATTCTCTTTAATCTTGTGAATGTATAAATGAACCTTATTTAGGCTAGCTGAAACCTTTTATCTTTGTTGTGAAAGATAGAGGAGAATGTGAAACTGTAAATATGGATGATGTAGAAGGTCCTAACAGTAAAACTCACAGTTCAGAGTTCTTAATTTGAGATAAAAAATATTAGTAGGAATCATAAATTTAACATTAAGATATAAATTAGTCTTTAGCATTTTAAGCTTATAATTTATTAGTCTCTAAGAAAGTCTCCTGAATTTTCCAGATTTAGCTGTTTCCAGGGTGAGTGAGTGATTACAGAGTTTGTCTTTACATTACAGAATATATGATAGCTATATCAAGAATCACAAAATCCCATCGGGATTGATAATGTATAGACTCGTGAATGTTTGCTTATGAAAGCTGAGGGCCTTTTTTGTTCTGCTGTTTTGTTGATTTCTTTGTTTGCAACAGATAGAGCTATATTCTTTCCATTTGTGTAAGTCTCAAAGACTGGGAATAGATTGTGTGACTATGGTTGTTGTCCATTAGAAATTAGGAACAAGGGTGCTCTGATACCAGCTCCATTCTCCCTGTTCCAGGGCTCACATCTACTTTGCTTAGCTAGTTAGACCCTCCCCACTCTGTCCCCACTCCCACTTTGGGCCCAGGCTCCCCTTCTACCCTTCCCACCTGAGAGCTCTGGACTAGCCTGCCAGAACCCAGTCACTAGATCCCCATAGTCTCCAACTGGGCCTAGGCCCTTTTGCCCTGCTGGAGAGTTCTTGACCAGCTAGCTTGGAACCATCCTGTCTCACCAATACAAAAATGAAAAATGAGAACCTGAAGTACAGACCAATTCACCTGGTCAGAAACCAGCCAAGCTACACCAACAATATCAATAGAACCAAACCAATTAAACAAAGGCAGGCTAGTTTTTCATAACACACAACGAACAAAAGAAATAACTATGCCCAGAACACAACTCAAAAACACAAATAATATGAAAAACCAAGATAATATGTTCCCATCAAAACTCACCACTGCTATGGAAGTGTACTACAATGAAAACTACCCAGAGGACACAGAATTTAAAAGAACAATCATAAACATGTTCAAAAAATTTAACTACTTTAAAGGACACAAAGACAGCTCAAAGGCTTGAAAGACAATAGAAATAAACTCCTGATTGAAGCTCAAGAAAATAAAAATATACAACTGAATGAAATGACAAAGACAATTCAATGCTTGAAAACAGAATTCACAAAAGAAATAGAAATACTGAAGAAAACTCAAGCCGAAATGAAGATGGAATTGAAAAACTAAATTTGAAATGACAGGAGAAAGCCTGACAAGTAGAATGAATGAAATGGAAAACAGTGTCAAGACTGAACTATACAGTTGAAAAACTGGACCACTCAAAGAACACGAATTTAAAAAAAAAAAAAAAAAAACTCAGGAACAGGATATGCAGGAAATGTGGGACACCATGTAGACCAAATCTACACAGCATAGGCATAGAGGAAGAAGAATCTCAGGTCAATGGCAGTGACCAGATCTTCAACAGGATAGTAGGAGAAAAGTCTCCTAAATTAAGGAAAGGCATTCCTATAAAGATACAAGAAGCACATAGAGCACCGATTAGACAGGACCAGAATAGGAACTCCCCACAGCATATCAGAGTGAAAAACTAAATGTACAGAACAAAGAGAGGGTACTGAAAGCGTCAAGAACAAAGCAAGTTTACATATAAAGGTTACAGCCAACTTTTCAATGCAAACTATAAAAGGTTGAGGAGCCTGGAACAAAGTTCTAAATGACCGTGGATGCTATCCCAGAATATTTTACCCAGCAAAACTGTCTTATCATATTCAAAGGAGAAAGAAAAATCTTCCATGATACAAATAGGCTAAAAGAACTCATGTCCACCAAAATAGCCCTACAGAGATACTTGAAAGAATACAAAGTACTGAAGAAAGGAATAACCATACTCAGTAGGTTACAGAAAGAAAAGAAATGAAGGAATAAAGTACAGAAACACAAAATAAGACTAAGAACACAAACAGAAAATAAAATAACAGTAACCAAGCTACGCCTTTCAATAATAATTCATGGTATCAGTGGCTTCAACTATGTAGTCAAAGACACCAGCTAATTTAATGAAGAAACAAAATCCATGTATTTGTTTTATACAAGTAATTCATCTTACCTCTAAGGATAGGCACCATCTTAGGGTGAAAGGATGGAAAAAAGATAGTCCATATAAATGGTACTAAAAAAAAAAATAGTTGCTATTCCAATATCTGAGAAAATAGACTTCAAGTTATAATTGATCAGAAGAGATAAAGAGGGTCACTACATTCTGATAAAGTGTATAATTGACCAAGAAGACATAACAATCATGCACCAAACTCTATTGCACCCAGTATCATTAAAACAGTACCACAGGACTTAAAGACACAGATTAAGCACACCTCAGTAACAGTAAGTGACTTCAATGCCCCACCTTCTGCAATAGACAGGTCATCTGGACAAAGAATAAACAGAGAAACATTTGAATTAAATGATACCATACATCAAATGAACCTAATAGACATCGACAGCATATTTTACCCAGTCGCCGAAGAATACACATTCTACTCAAAAACCTATGGAAGTTTCTCTAAAATAGACTGCATACTACTGGGTCACAAATACCAAAAAAAAAAATTGAAATGATTCCCCGTATTCTCTCAAACCACAAGGAAATAAAACTTAAAATCAACAGGAAAAGAAGCTCTAGTAACTACACATACTCAAGGAGATTAAACAACACACTCTTGAATGATGAATAGGTGAAAAAATGAAATCAAGAAATAAATAAAAGTATTCCTGGAATCTTAATGAAAATGATAACACAAGAGAACTTCTGGGACACATTAAAGGCAGTCCTTAGAGGAAATTTATAGCTTTAAGCACCTACATTAAAAAATGAGAAAGAGCACAAATGAGTCAATGGTACAACTCAGGAATTTAGAAGAGCAAAAACAACCTAAACCCAACAGATGAGAATAAATAATAAAAATCGGAGTAGGAATCAATGAAATAGAAACATACCAATATAAAAAAAAAAAATCAATGAATCTAAAAGCTGGTTCTTTGAAAAGATAAACAACATATACAGACCTTTAGCCTAGCTAACCAAAAGAAAGACCAAATCCAAATCAACAAACTCAGAGACAAAAGGGAAAACATCACAACAGGTATTGAAAAGATCTAGAACATTATAAGGGAATATTTTGGAAACCTGTACTCAGAAATCCTAAAAATAATTTATGAATTTCTAGTCAGTGGATCCACCAAAGTTAAACCTAGAGGAGATCAGCAGTTTAAACAGAGCCATAGCAAATAATCCCAGCACTCAAGAGGCAGAGGCAGGTGGATCTCTGTGTGTTCAAGTCCTGCTCAGACTACCTGAAACCCTGTCTCAAAAAGAAAACTATAGCCCCATATCCCTAAACAATATAGATGCAAAAATTCTCAACAGAATACTTGCAAACCACCTACAGACATACATCAAAAAGATTATCCATCATGATCAAGCAGGCTTTATTTGAAAGATACTAGGATGGTTCAACACAGTAACTTTAATAAATCATGTAAATGGACTTAAAGACAAAAATCACATAATCATCTCAGTAGATGCAAGAAAAGACCTTTGACAATCCAGCTTGAATTTATGATAAAAGTCCTAGAGGGTATTAAACTGGAGGGAGTCTTATTTACCCCTGTTCTGTGTTCCATGAGCCTTAGGCGTGAGGTTGCATTGTAAATGTGTCACTTAGGCCTGGGTAATTCATAGACAGTCTGTGTGTGATCAGTTGTGGTACTTAGTAATAGTCTCAGACTGGTGCAAAATAAGCTTCTTTGATGAGTGGTGACTGGGATATTTGTCTGTAAATATAAGATTATATAATTTGCACATAATAAGAAATTACATTAGTCTAGGGTTCTGACAGACAGCCTTGGAGTTTTTTCTAAGATCTGTGACCTCTCCAGCCATGTGTATTTGGTTATGTTTACAGTACCACACTTGAGTTTTCTCCCATTGAGTGGGCTTTTAGTCCAATTAGGTAGCTGTTGATTGCCCCCAAGATGAAAGTGCCACTACTGCACCAATGTCGTATGCTGTGCTGGCCACATTCCCAAGTAGACCTGATCTTTTCCATTTCATTTTATCTGTCCTCTACTAATGACATTTTTAAAGCTTGTCATTTTTATAGTTGTATTCTTGACATGTCCCTATTGAATTTAATCTTATTCAAGATACTGACTGCATTTTTAACATTTTTTCATTCCCACAAACAATTGTACTGAGTATGTGTCAGTTACTGGATTGGTCTAGGTCTATATCAGGCTATGAACTTCCAGGATAGGAGATAACCGATACTAAAAGATTTTAGAATTTATTAATTTTACAAACCTAGAAATAGTGCATATCATTTGTGTTTCTGAATAAGCAAGATTTCTTTAAAATTAGATTTTTACATGTATATCGTAAGGATCTCTATCATTTTTATATAATAAATAAGTCGTACACAATGACATTTATAGTGGTTATCTTTGAACAGGAAGATAACCTTCATATTAATATTTTTCTATATTTAAGTTTCATCAGTAAATAAAAGTTTTAATGAGGAAAAATGATTTGGTTTTATAAAGCTACTACATATATTTAAACATTATCCTAGTTACTTCTGTTGCTGTGATAGAACACCATGATCAAAAACAACTTGGAAAGGAAAGGGTTTATTGCTTCTTAGGCTCTTAAGTAACACCCATCTTTGAGGGAATTTGGGTAGGAACCTGGAGTAATGTACTGAAGCCCAAATATGGAGGAATACTGCTTATTGGCTTGCTTCCATCGCCCATGCTCAGCCTGCTTTTGTATACAACCTAGACCAGCACACACACGCACACACACACACACACACACACGCACACACACCATCTTTCCTCTTTGCAGTTTGTGATGTGCTTGTGTGTGGTGGGTGCATGTATGTTCAGGTGCAAATGTAGTGGCTGCCTGAGGTTGACATCTAGTGTGTTTTTCAATTGCTCTGCACCCTTTTTCCTTTGTTTTGTTTAATTTTCTGTAACATTAAGTGTGTATTTGTGTACTTGGATGTTTGTGCACCATGTGTGTGCCTTGTACCTAAGGTGACCAGAAAAGGGCATTGGATCCTCTAGAACTGCAGTTGCAGATGGTTGTGAGCCACCATGTGGATGCTGGGAACTGAGTCCACATCCTCTACAATAAGCAGCAGGTGCTTTTAACCACTGACCCCATCTCTCCAGCCCTCTTTTTGCAGATTTAATTTTAATTACAAACACACACACACACACAGACACACACACACACACACAATTCTTTGCTGAACCTTAAAAAGTGAGTTTAAAACAGCAGTGAAACAAATGTAAATAGTACATTTTCAATGATCCATAAAAGTTAAGCTCATTGGCAAAGAGTTTTAACTGTTACCAAAGGATGAAATACAAAGGTAGATTTTCGGTTATACGTTCCTTTGTACTAGTTTTACTGTCATTGTGACACCTAAGAGTGATGTGAATCATGTCAGATGTTTGAGGTTCCTTCACAGATATATTAATATTAGCTAAAATGTGAATTATTCTTATACAGCTGTCAAACTCATTTTCCACCTATTGAAGAAATGAGGAGCAAGCCAGTTTAAAATCTTGCTAAGTATATTGTGTTTCTCTATGATTGGTTTCTTGTACTTCCTTTTATAAAGGAAGATTTGTTTGTATCAGCCTATTCTTCTATGTTTCTTTTCCCTCCCAAGCTTCAGTGTTTTGTGTGGTGGAAGGGGCTTTGAATGTTAGCACCCTTTTTGCTTTATGAGATGGAATAAAATTATAAGAACTTGTGCCATAGGTCTGCCACACTGCTGTTTTGGAAACCGCTTAATCTCTTTTTAAATGTGTTTCCCAATAAGTGAGACTTCAGTAGCAGTAATAATCCTAATGTGAGGCATATATCTGCTTATTTACCTTATTAAATAAAGGATATTCATTTGCTAAGAATTACTGTCATCAGATGGGGCAGGGGACAGACTAGTAACCTCAAGGGAATCATAATGTATTTCAGGTACGGAAGAAGTCTGTTTCTCTTCTTTCAAGAATAAAATTTATTTATGTTAAACAATTGAAAGGTATAAAAACTGAAGTTCAAGGAGGTTAAATAATGTCTCCAAAACGTTACAGCTAATCTCATTTCTGTTTCAACAATTCAATTTACATCTCCTTAAAAAAAGACATTTCAATAAGTGTAGTAGAACAGCATGTGTGAATACCCAGTCGCTCAGAAAATGTGTTTTTCTTGACACAAAACTTTGAATGCAATTAATTTATCCCCTTAGTGAAATAGGTGTCTTCTTATTAAGTCTGAGTCCTGTGTTTCTTCATATTGCTTATTTTAACTTATTCCTTTGTTCTTAAAATACATTTTTTTTCATAGAGTAAAAAAATGTTCTGTTTAGAAGATACCTATAACTGATGCTACTTTTCTTATTAGGAATTCTTGTTAAATCATGGGCACAAATCTTTGCCACCTCTAAAGCGCAAAAACTACTGTTTCGGATCATAGATTGTTTACTGCTACCACATACAGTGTTACAGCAAGAGAAGGAGCTGCCTGCCCCTATGCTGACTGCAATTCACAAGAATCTGCCTCTGTATCTCCAGGTATACCTCCTGTGGCTGCTTACAAGTAGGAAAAGGAGACTGCCTTAAAACACAGTTTGCTAGATGCACATTTAAAATGCAGACATTGTAATCTCAAATGTACATGTGCATACATTGCGTATCCATTGAAACAGTTTTAAATGTCTCTTGGGTTTGCCTCTGAGAATAAAGGTGAAAAGGCAAATTTGAGGTGGAGACCGAAGGCAGAGGAGCACATGCTCTGAAGTGTGCTTGGTATTTCCCTTAGATACCTTATTTACCTGGCAGCCTGCGCGGGGTGGAGGAGATATGGGAAGCAGTATAGAGAACATTGGATGTAAAGGGCCAGAAGTCTGGAAGGCCATTCCTATTAAAGCATGATGAATAAGGGCAAGAGGTGAAGGAAAAATCTACAACACTAAAGAAAGAAAAATGGTTTTGTTTGAGAGAGAAATTCATACGAGAGGAGACATATGATGGGAGACTTTATATTCCATGCCAAGAAGTTTGGATTTCATGGGTAATGTTGATAGAGTTTGAGAAAAATGATTCTGGTTGGAAGTTAGATTTGCAGTCCAGACTCTGCAGTGTGGACCTTAACTCTTTATCTTGATGACACACTAAGCTTTGATTTAAGTTATATTAAATAGTGTGATCAAAGATGTATTTTATAACTTTGTAACAACGTGTTTGTTGTATGGAGTTGATGATCATGGTCGTCAGGTTTTCTGAGGAGGGGGACGAAGTGGAGAAGAAAGAAGTTCTGTGTTTCTTCCTAGAAGCATCCTTTGCTCATGCCCCTAAAATACACATGCTTGGTTAGATTTCACAGCGTGTGTATTACCTATCCTCTGCTCTAAAAGGTCCATATGCATATTACCTAGTCATCATAACACTTGTCTTATTAGGTGGTTGTGAGTTACAAATTCTAACATGAATATTAATGCAAGGGGACATATTAATAAGTTCATAAACACTGTTTAACTCTTAACATTTCTTCTATTTTCTCCTATAGGGTATATGTATTGTGTGCTGTCAGTCTCAAAATTCCAATGCCTACTTGAATCAATTGCTAAGGAATATCATTGAGCAGTATATTCGACGGTTTCTCCCAGCTTCAGCATGCATTTCAAGTCTTGGACAACATCCTGTTCTGTTGGCACTGAGAGACTCAGGCTCTGTTCCAGCAGTGGCATCTCTAGGGAAGCACATTGTACATGTCATAAGGTATGTCTAAGTATTACAGAGAGGGGCATGGAAAAATCATCAATTAATCTCCATCAGAAATAACCCACAGTATCTCAAAATACTAGCAACCATTAACATCATGATAGCTTAGAGGTCATTTTTCCCAAGAAACATTAACAGTTTGTTAAAATTACATTTACTTTTGAAATTGTTTTTTCCACGTAGCTATTTTTTTCCATATCTATCTATCTGTCTACACACACACACACACACACACACACACACACACACATTTCCTAAAGGTATGTTTTTCATGTTTTCATCACATTAAAAATTGTGTTTTATTTATTTATTTTTAGTTTATGTGTATGAGTGTTATGCCTGCATGTATGTAAGTGCACCATGTCCTACAGTTCCTTCAGAGGACAGAAGAAGATGTCAGATCCCCGGGAACTGGAGTTACCGACAGTTGTTAGCTGCCATGTGGGTGCTGGGATTCACGCTCGGTTCTTCAAACCACTGAGCCATCCCTCCAGACCCTAAAAATTATATTTTGTTCAATATGCTATGTAATAATTATATTTTATAAAATATAACTAAAGACATGAATGCTAATATGTAAATAAGGAATATGAAGTCCTGTTTTCTTCGTTTGCTATTAATCTTAACTCATTTTTAAGCAGATGGCTATAATAAACGTCTTAGGGTTCTTGTTCTCTAAACTTCATATCCCTTAGTCATGCACTATTCATCTTTCTATGGCATTAATTTTTAAACTTTAGCGATGCTGTAGTGGTATCTATTTTTTATTGTTATCTACTATTAGGTTTCTATTTTTTAATGACCTGATTGTTTTGTTCTGTTTTATTTTGTTCATGTGTGCATGTTCATATGTATGTATGCATACATGGGGAAGCTGAAGGACAACTTCAGGTATTATTCTTCAGGCACTGTCTACCTTGTTTTTGAGACAGTCTTCTATATCCTGATGCTGGTCATTGAGCCCAGGGAATCTGCCTGGCTTTGCCTCCCCAGTGTTGAGATTACAAGTACATGCCACTAAGCCTGGCTTCTTGTTTATGTAGGTTCTGGAAATCAAGCTCAGGCAACTTTACTCACTGAGCCATCTCCCAGGCCTTGACTTTATCATTTTAATGATCTGATTCTGTTGCAGAATTCCATTCTCAAGCTCTCTGTGCCTTCTAGCTTTCCTCTTGTGTTCCTAGAATCCTGACACTTGGGTTGGGGACCCTCTTCATCTTTGTTACCTCTAGTTTCTTATCCTCTGACAAATGACTACTTCCTTCATTTCATATTTCACTTCCCTTACTGCATTACACCTAGATCCTTGTCAGCGTGCCCTAGCCACTAGTTTTCCTTCTAGTCCAGCCTACAAAATGTCCACAGATCAGGTTTTCTAAAGTCCTGTTCCATTTGACACTTATCTGTCCCCATACCTTCACTGGCTCCTTTAGGCCTGTAATAAATTGCATACTCTAGTTATTGAACTGTCACTTAGCCTTTCTGTTGCTAAGTGTTATTTCCTATTGTGTCCTGTCCATACCCTGATGACCCTCATGTGGTTCTTCCTCCTCCAAGATTCTTTATGCTTCCCTATGTTAAGCTTTGTCTATTCCAATCTCTGTATTAAAATGGCTTCCACCATTAAAGTAGACTAAATCCACCTGTCCTTCATGAAACCTACACCTCATACTGTAGCATAGCATGATGATTCTTTTTTCTTTATGAAGTTGTATGCCATGTATGACTCAGTTTTCACATTCATAATAATTTTGCCTCCATTTGATTTGAATTTCCAGCAAGGTTTCAGTAATCTGTCATAATGTTTAAGACATTTCTTGATTTTAGTGTAAACTAAATGTCAAATGCTAAGATGAAGTCAAATTCATAAAACTAAATTAAGCTCCTTATTTAGATTGTAGATGTAATTCTTTTTCTTTTATTTTTATGTTATGAGTGTATTGCCTATATGTATGTAAGTACATCTGTGTTGTACAATGCCCATGGAGGTCAGAAGAGGGTGTCATGTTCACCTAGAACTGGAGTTACAGACATTTGTCAGCCGCCATGTGGGTGCTGGGTATCAAACCCAGGTCCTCCGCAAGACCAATCGGTGTCTTAACCCCTGATCATCTCTTCAGGGCTGCTAGATGTATTCTTAACCTTCTACCTTATTTCATGTCTAGTTAAGGAGGTTTTTGTTTGTTTCTCATGGTTTCTAATTGAAGACTAGAAATGTATAAGGTTTTGTTTGCTTGCCTGTTTTTAATACTCAGCAAAGATGCAGAGTTTGCCTCCTCTTGTATGCTACAGTCTGTACTTTTCTATTCTACAGTTTGAGTTTCTTCATCAGAGTTCCTGAGGATTACTGTGCTTATCTTTTTGTCAAAGCACTTGTTACACTATAGTAAAGTTTTTTTTTTTTTCTCCCAGTGCTTTGATAGATGGTAAACCCATGGTCTTTACTTAATTTTTTTTTAAATTTATTATTTTATTTGTATGAGTGTTATGCCTGCATGTAGGTAAGTACATCTGTGTCATGCAATGCCTGTGGAGGACAGAAGAGGCTGTCAGATCCCCTGGAACTGGAGTTACGGACAGTTGTTAGCTGCCATGTGGGTGCTGGGATTCGGACCTGGGTCTTCTGCAAGAACAGTCGGTGCTCTTAACCACTGAGCCATCTCTCCAGCCCCTCCTAAATTAGTTCTCTAAATTTCCTATTGGAGGAAAGAAGTAGCTAAAGCTAGATCTGGAAGCTGCTTCCTAGGAGAGGCCTTTTATTTATTCAGAACTATAAGACCCCTCCTAAATTCTAAATAAATAAATGTGAGGAGAGATTTATTTATGTATTTTGACATTAGGGGAATAGACATATGAAAAAACTGGTAGGGAAGATCAGACCTTATGTGAAAGGGAAGAAAACAGGTTAGCAATCAGGCTTGGTTCATCTTAAAACCAGCTTGCTTTAAATTTATGTCTGTATTACATTTTAGAGCTCATCAAAATGGCATGCAGTTGATTCTAAACTCTTATGTTTAAAGATAGTGTAGTAAAATGTATGTACCTTTAAAAACTGTACCCCAATTACCTCACCCTGTGTCCCTATTAAGCATGGAAAAAGCCAGAGTAGTCTGTGTCCCAATTCCCTATCTGCAAGCTGGATAACCTCTTCAGAGGATGGTGTGATAAGAATAGGAGGGAGGAATTGGCTAGGCAGTTAGGGTAAAAAGACCCCAAAGAAAAGTAGCCAGTTTCTTGGCTAAAACTCAAAATTTCCTTGGGCCTATTAGCAACATACTCTGCTCCAAAGGCCAAACACGTTTAAAGTATTTGGGAGCTTTTATCTAATCCTTAAAAGATTTTCGGGTTACCTCTTCAGAGGGGGCAATGTTAGAATAGCAAAAAGCCCATAAAAAGAAAGAAGAAAGAGTACAGGAAGTTATCAGAAAAGAGTGAGAGGGAGACACGGGAGGAGCTGGAGGGGGGAGTGGGCGTGAGTTTGATCACACACCTTACATGCTGACGTGCCTGTATGAAATTCTCCATAAATTATTATTCTTTAAAAGTCTGTACTTCATTAATTTGGGGGATAAACTTTCCAGTTTTTTCTTACTTCTTTTCAGAAAATCCTACCTGGAGTTTAAAGGATCCTCACCCCCTCCTCGCTTAGCATCCATTTTGGCCTTCATCCTCCAACTCTTCAAGGACACTCATATAGGTGTTTGTGAGGTGGAAATACTCCTCCCCGCCATCTTAAAATGTTTGCTGTTAGTCAATGAACCTGAAGGTTAGTTTGTTTAGTCTTGTTTTTGTCATCATTCTTAAAGTGAAGAAACTTTTTTTCCTGTCAATTAAATTGATAGCTACAAAAGGTTCATGGTCGTTTTCTACTTCTTGGTATGTATCATGGCTAAACAATAGAAGCAAATACCAAGCAATAACTGAGGTTAGGTGTGATGAAATAATCAAACAGTGACGTATTTCAGCCTATTTAGTTTACCCATATTTCAGCCCATTTAGTTTAGCATGTCCTCACCCTCTCCCCAAGTCAAGTAGTTTATTTACTGGCTACTTCTTTGATCGGACTTGTTACCTTCTCAAAAAAATGTTTGTTAATCTCACTCCAGTATCAAATGTGATTTGTCAAATGTCAGGTGATAGGAGGTCAGAATGCTTTCTTCTGTGCTATTTGGAGGAAACCCGAAGGGTCCTTTAATTCTAGTCCATTTACTTTTAGTCTCATCAGCCTTACTTCCTGTGGTCACTTTTGATGTATAATTTGTTCAATCCCCACTGTAGCATGCTTTAATGAGCTTATTGATAATATGCAGAATAGGAGTCATAGCTCTGTCTTGAAGGAGGATTTGGGGTTTTTGTTGTTTGTTTTCCTGTTTTTATGCAGAGTGTGGTATGTGTGTTGGCATCACAAAGTTCCCATCCTACCTAAGGCCTCATAACTGACACAATGTGTGGTACATGCCCTAAAGCGACTGAAAGCAGAGCCCACAGTGACAGTAGAAACTAAACAGCTCTGAAATGTTCTTTCATCTAAAAATGTTATCTCTGTTTTTGATTCAATATTAAAATGTTCTTGACTGGTCTCAAACTGACTGGGGAAGAAATGCTATTAGATTTCTCTGTAATACTCTCTCCTGATGGTAACACCTCTTCCCTGGAGGATGGGCCCTTGGTGGGTCTTCAGCTCTTCATATATATTTTACCCTTGTAAAATCTAAATGTCTTTGACCTTCAGTGAAAACTTGCACTGCACCCTTTAGGATTTGCTTACATGGAGCAGACAGCACAGTATTCATCTTTTATCCACAGTTTTGTTTTCTTTGGTTTTACTTGTATGTTATTAACAGTGGACTAAAAATACTAAATGGAAAATTCTGGAAGTAAATAGTTCATAAGTTTTAAATGTGTGCCATTCCGAATAGCTTCACCCAGATTTGATTTCATTAACTCTCAGAAAATATCCCTCAGAGACAGAAAGTAGGTTAGTGCCTACTTATGGGAAATCAGATCAGAGCTACAGAGCATGTTTTTGGGGGTTTTGTTTGTTTTTTTGTTTTTTTTTAATTTTTACAAAAACTTTATTGAGAATTTCATACATGTATATAAGGTGTTTTGATCAAATCCATGCCCACTCCCTCCCTTCCAACATTCCCCTCTCTAAAGAGGTAACCCTAAAATCTTTTAAGGATTAGGTACAAGCTCCCAAATACTTTTTGACATTTTTGGCCTTCGGAACAGAGTATGTTGCTAACATGGTTTCTTTTCAAAATAATGAAAATATTTCAAAACTGACAGTGATGATAGTCACAAAACTCTGAAAATACTAAAACACTAATTAAACACTGCACTGTATATGAGGTATACACTTTCAGGTGGTCGGATTACTTAGTAAATTCTGACAGTCAAGGTGTTAGCGTAAATACAAGACTACTTAGTTTGAAAATAAAAGCCAATTCAGTTAAAGAAATGAAGGTAAAGCAAAAAAGGAAACACATGTGTTCATGAGTGTTCACAACATTTCTCCTACCAGTCAAAAAAGAAATAGCCACATAGCTAGTCCAGCAGCCAATGAATACTTAAACGAGAGGTGGCCACTCTGCACACGTGGTATTATTCAGTCACAGAAAGCAATGAAGCACTGTTAAATGCAATAATGTGGCTGAACCTTAAAAGATGGTAAATTAAAATGTGAATTACAGACTAGGGAGAGGGCTTAGTGGTTAAGAGCACTGGCTGCTCTTGCACAGGATCCAGATTCAGTTCCTTGCACACACACACAGGATAACAACCACCTGTAACTCCAGTTCCAGGGGAATTTGATGCTCTCTTTTGACCTTCGTGGACCTTTCATGTCACGAGTGCACTTACACACAGGCAGGCAATACACTCATACACATAAAATATAAAATAATAAAAAAGTATATAATTACATTTCTGTGGTATTTCCACAGAAATTAAATAGATCCACACAGACAAAAAGATTTGTGCTTCACAGCGACTACCAGAAAAACAAGACAAGAAGTAGACTGCTAATGAAATGAATAGGTGGGGGCGGGAGGGGGGTGCTGAGATAGTAGTGATGACTTGCAAACATTCAAAAACTACCGAACTTGCACTTTAATGGTTAGTCTTTGTCAGATGTGAATTAAGTACTTGGACATGCAGGCCAGTGGTGTTAAGCTTGCCCAGCATGCTGGGTTCTTGTCTGTTAGTTTGCTTTGCATTAGTATAACAAAATACTTTAGATAATCAACTTAAAATAAGGGAAGATTTCTTTAGCCTCCTGGTTTTGAAGGCTTCAGTCCATTATTGGGCACACACACCTCCCCTGCCATTTGAGTTTGCAGTGGTGCATTATGGTGGGAACACTCAGAGACGGAAGCTGCCCACCCTTGGAGTGGTGGGAAGAAGAGGAAGAGGTAACCCATCTCTAAAGAGCTTCTGTCACCTCCCACAACACGATGGCCGTGGACCAAGCATTTAACACATGGGTCTTTGAGACATTTACAATCCAAGATTTATATATGAGCACATACTTTTAAAGCATTTGGTTAAGTACTTAAGAAATAGAATGTTTGACTAATTTTAAGTAAAGGTACTTTATTGATTGATCTAGTTTGCTACTGATAAAGGGTAGAAGGTAAGTGCCTATGAATTTTAAAACATCAAAGCCATGTTTTAAAAGTTTCTCTTTTGTCTTTATATATGTTTGTGGTTTTTAGGGTGGGAAATGTTTTTTAATATACCTTTCTAAAGGAAAAACATCTTTATTTGTATTATTTCAGTATTAAGGTTCAAAAATAGATTTTAAACTTTTTGTATTCTTTATAACAAAACAAAAAACAGGTATTTCATTTTGAATATTAGCAAAAAGCATGTACATGCTTGAGGAAAATAACATATTTTTCTAAATCAAGAGTGTTAAAAAAATGAGGATCCAGATGGTCAATTCAGAAGCACTGTGTAATGCTATAATTTTTCCTCCTAGTTAAAAGGCTGGCCACAGAGAACCTGGAATGCATGGTAAAAACCTGCCAAGCAGGGTCAGAAGGAGAAACTGCCACCCAGCTGACTTCCCTGTTTAGGTAACTGGAAAATATGCCAACTGGCAAGGAGAGGATTGCCAGCCATTTGACAGCCAACATGTTTTTTAAATAACTAATTATCCAAAACATAATGTGTCACTGCTTGTTTATAGTATTTCAATTGTTGTATTTTGGGCAGTCATTTTCTTACATTGTGTTGCTTTATTGAAAACAAAAATGCCAAGGAAAAAGATAAGTGAGCTGACTTGAAATTACTTTTGAATTTAGAGAGGAAGAATCTTAAATGTGTTTAAGAGGAGAAAAATGTGAAACATGAGTCTTGGTGACAGGTGCTCAAGCCTCCAAGCTTGCTTAACGTGCTCCTTTGGATGCTCATCCCTGGTCCTTTGACTGGCTTTAGATACTGTAGCTTCAGAAAGCTCCCTTAGTTTTAATTTGCAAAGCATAGACTTCATAGGCATAAGCTCAAAAATTGATGATACAGTTGAGGGGACCCCCCCACACACACCCATGTTCTGCTCTGCCCCTCTAAAGTCTTCTGTTTGGGCAGCGTCTTTACTCTTTCCTGCACAGGGTTTCTGCCAGCTTGTTGTTATGTTACATGGCTCTTCCTTGCCATCACCATGATGCATCACTGGGCTGCATTTCCTTCAGCTAAGAGATGTTTTGTGACTGTCCTTATAACTATATTGCTTGACCAATACAAACATAGGACAGGCTAAAGGCTAAAACATACCTAAAAATGCTGACATCCTTCTGCTCCTGATCACTCTGGTCTCAGTATGCACCGAAATAAACATTTCTGTTTTCTATTTTAAAGTGCTATCAAGGTGGGCATGGTGATGCACAGCTGTAACCCTAACATCCTAGGTGGCTGAAGCAAGGGAACCAGAAGTTTGAGGCCTCTGGACTACATAGTATACTCTGTCTAAAAAGCAAGCAAAGCAAAAGTCTTACCAATAATCTGCATACACATTCTTACAGGAACGTTGCAGGCAGTGATCTTCCCTGTGTTTGGGTTACCCAGGGTATTGCCTCTGAGTCTTAAATTGCTTGTTTTACTTTCAGGCAGTTCATCCAGGACTATGGCATGAGCTACAGTTATCAAATATATAGCATCTTAGAGACAGTAGCCACACTGAACCAGCAGGTTGTCATCCACTTGATTCCTACCCTAACTCAGTCTCTGAAGAATTCAGAGCTGAAATGGGGCTTTGGCAGAAATATTGCACAAAGGTATGTTTGGTAATTCAATCACATTATTTTGAGTGTTTATCACAAGGTCTGTTTCATTTTCTAAGAACAGCTTATTTTCCCATTCTCCTACATTGGTGTATGTCCTTTCTCACTGAGAAATGCTTCTGTACTGTGATTTAGATCAGCTTTTTAATGCATGAAGTAGAAAGTAGTGTGGTTTATCAACCAGCTTAGCAGAGGCCACGCATCCCATTTTTGTATTGTTTCCTGAAGTACCACGTAGAAAGCTTGTATCGGTGGTGCTTGTCTTTGTCAAGCACTGTGTTCCTCTTTGAGAAACTCATTTCAGAGCCTCAGGTTACTTTCCTTATAAAATCCATATCAACAGATCGTAACCCTTTGAGGTTACTTTATCCACTGACCAACTATGTCACATGTAGCTAATGAATAAGGTAAGTGATCCAGATGATCTGGGTTTGGGCCACAAATAGCTAATAAGACTGTTTTGTTTGTGCTTTTTTCCCTTACAGTCTCAGAGCCCAACAAAAAAATGCAACATTTTTTTTTTAATAATTCCTAAAGAGATTATTTTAGAGGAGTCAGTACTGATAATGGTAAATTTCTATGTCCTAAATTATGTTTCAGAATGAAATACTTTGTTTCCATTGTACATGTTTCTCTGATACATATATACACACATATGTGTGTATGTGTATATATATACCATATATACATATGTATGCATATACTTTTTAGTTGAAAATTTTTGCCTATAGTATATCTCAGTTTGCCTAGAGACATGACTTACTAATTATAGCATTAGCTAACTAATAGACTACATCTTTGCAGTACAATAAATTGAAACTTTAAAAAAGAACACCAAGAGTCCATCCTTACGTAGCTTTTCTGTGCCACAGCAGGACATCTCTGCTCTTTTACACAGTAGCTTGGCTAGCCTCTTACAATATTCTACAGAGAAAAGATCACTTGAAGTCATAGCTTTGAAGAAATTGTGCTAACCTCATGACATAAAGCATGCTCATGCAAAGACCTCTGATACCTCCCTTCTAAGCAGTTTCCAAGTGTGTGTGAGAGGACTGGAGTCCACACATGAGCTGTCTTTTTCACAATGTGTTATTGGGATGGCCATCTGCTAATGTCCTGCTTACTGTGTGAGACCAGGCATGTCCACAAGAGGATTGGTTTTAGAAATTCTAAATGGCACAGGTATTTGACTAATGAAATAACTACTAGGCAGAGTGATTTCTTAAAAGCCTGTCAAATGGTGGATGCTATGTTAAAAACCCATAAAAGGTCACAATAGACTTCACCTCAGCCTTCTCCCTTCCTGCCCTCTTAGAGCCAGGCCACACAAGAGGCACGTCATACTGTATCTCCACCTCTGTGAACTATCTCCTTTCCCATAAAGACAACAAAACAAAAACAAAACCTTCTCAAATACCAGGAAGAACTACACAATCTAATATAGAAACAGTATCTTATTTTCAAACTTTGTTACTTTTAAGGTAAAAAGAAGGTAGAGAGGAAGGTAGAGCATATATATACTAATTATGTGACACTGATCTGTTCTGTGATCATCACACTGCTGTTTGCATACTTAGGTTTGTGACACATTTCCCATTGTAATCATATCATCATGTCCTTAGGCAATATTTCATGAGCATGTTTCATTACATATGAACATTATTGTATTTGAGATAGTTAATAAGCTTATACATTTAAACCCTCATTTTTTATATATAAATCATGGTTAAAAAAAAAAAAACTTGAGTGAATACTAACACCTGAGTTTAAAGTTTGTTTGTTTTTTTCTTAAACAGGGAAGCCTATAGCAAACTTTTATCTCACCTAGGACAGGTGGGAGAAGATGAGAAGCAGAGACTGGAAAGTGAGAAGGTGTAATGTGATTTGTGGCTCCTCCTGTTTGCAGATGTCTCTCTAAAGTTGCTTTGTACCCTCAAAGGGTACTTTTAACTAATTGTGTGATGTTGTATCAAAAGTTATTTCTATGATTTTTCCCTTTTATGCCCATATGTGTAATTATATAAATAAGAAAATAAAAAGAAATTACTAACTATATAATAGAATGCTTGGAATTTTGTAAAATGGTACTTTGTTGAATAGATTTTTAATTAAATTAAAGAAGACTTTTCAAACTGGAATCATTTGCTGATATGAGTGTAAGACAAGTTTGTACGGGTCCATCTGTGGACTTCTTACATTATTATGACTTCCTAGCTTGTGACTGCTTTGTTCTGTTAATTTTTGAATCTTTATAAATTTTCTGTTCATAAATTTTTTTTTTCAAAGTACCTTACTACCCTGCTCTGATATATTGTTTGGAGGAAACAAAGCTTCCTTTTTTATAAATCAAAGTTAATAAGTAAAACCCTTACAAAACTAGAGTAAAAGTCTACTTAACTTTCTTAAGAATCATTGATTCAGTCGAAAGGATTATACATAGAAGTTTTTTAGAAGAATTTATATCAACAATATATCCTGTGTTGCATGGATTCCTTTTTTTCTCTATTTATCCATTTGAAATTGTCATTAAAAGCCTCTCAATGGGAAGAAAATAAAGAGACTCTAAAGAAAGAATAAGAATAGTCTCAAGCCTTTTTTTAATTTTCTCTTTGATTTTTTAAAAATTTTTTTAAAAATTATTTATTTAATAACCACATACTTAGAAGAAGCAGTTCATCACAACAGAATTGACATATTCAATATCAATTTCCAGAGCTAAGATGCATCTCTTTCAAAATTGGCTGTAAATTTTTAGGTTTACAGTTGAATTATTACAGTTATACAATATTATACTCAGTATAAACCCTGTAAGAAGTAAAATTAAATGAGGTTTTAACCTTTAAAAAATATCTCCATTTCATTATTAAAATACACAGTTTCATACAATTTTTAATGCAATTGACATTAAGATGTTTGCACATGCATTTCTAAACTATATATCTGATTATTACTAGTCACAGTCAGTTACTTTCTGAGCTCCTTGGCATCTGAGCATGGATATAAAGTCAGGTAGATTTCAATGGTAATACTTTTCACATCTACTAAATTATTAAGGAGCAAATTTTTATGCTTTGAAGAATTATTTTATTTTTATGTGTATGAGTGTTTTGCCTGCATATATGTAAGTAAAGCCTGTGTTGTACAAACCCCACAGAAGCCAGAAGAGAGTATCAGATCCCCTGGAACTAGGGTTACAAACAGTTGTTAGCCACCATGTGGGTGCTAGGAATTGAACCCAGGTCCCCTGGAAGAGCAGCCAGTGCTGTAAAACAGTGAGCCATCTCTCCAGCCCCCAGAAACATAGTTACTAATAAAGAAGTCTGAGAGATCAGCCCATCTATCTCCTCACTCTTAAAACTTCAGTGTCTATTTATAGCCTATTTACCTCTCTCATCCAAGAGTACTTTATGCTGGGTCTTGTCCTTGACTCCTTTCTGTGATGAGCATCACTTAAAGAGAAGGAGTTCCTGTCCTACAGTTGGGAACAGCCCAGCTCTGCTGTATTGTCTTGAGCCTGTTATCTGACCCTTTGAGACTGATTCCTTCATGGAGAATAAAGAATAATGACCTTGTAAAAAAAGAAAAATGTTCACAGTGTTATAGGAATCAGTGGGATAATTTATGTAAAAGTGTCAGGTTTTTGTTTACAGACATGATTACTATGTTTATGGCTTTCATAAAAATGAAGGTAAAATAATGCCTCTCAATTTTGTTTCTTTTTCTTCCAGTTACATATTCTAGATGACCACCCTCCCCCCTTTTCAGTTCTTACATGTCATATTTTAACTTTGAAATACTCGATTTCCTTCTTGGGATTGTGTTCTTTATCATTGTTCTGCTGTCCCTCAGAAAAAATATCTCAACTTTGTTCTAATTTCAAAAATGATCTTTACAGTGAAATAGAGGTGAGGGTGAAGCACAGTGGTAGGGCACTTGATTAGCATGCAGTGAGGTCCTAGATTGGGTCCCCAACCAAGTAAAAACAAAGTAATGACAAGTAAGTAAAAGTTAAAAGGGAATTGGCATTGTCTAATTCTCTGCTAGTGCAAATCTCTGAAATCTAAATGTATATCTGTTACTTTTATGATAGGCAAATGATCTTTCTTCCCAAATCAACTGCTGTTACTTCAGCTTCTTTAAGACTGTTTAAAAGGCTACATTGCAGGGCTGGAGAGATGGCTCAGCGGTTAAGAACACTGGTTGTTCTTGCAGAACTGGTTTCGAATCCCAGCACCCACTGGCAGCTAACAGCTGTCTGTAACTCCAGTCCTAGGGGATCCAACAGCCTCTTCTGACCTCCACAGGCATTGCACGACACGGGTGCACTTACCTACATGCAGGCAATATGCGCATACACATAAAAAAAAAGGCTACATAGCAATTTCTTTCAATATGATAGTGACTTACTAAACTAATGCTGTGTTGGTCTGTAAGTTTCAGCAGGTAAAAGAGCTTATTTAAAGACATTTCATAAAGGTTATTAAAAGGATTAAGAAATTAGGTCAATGCTAGAACACTTTGTATGAGGACCTGAGTTCAATCCTCAACACCAAAAACAAAGATACTTTTCTCAAAAATCTAAAGAAAGAAAGAGAAGATGGAAAGACCTACCATGCTCATGGATTGGTAGAATCAATATTGTGAAAATGACCATCTTACCAAAAGCAATTTATAAATTCAATGCAATCTCAATCAAAATACTCATGACATTTTTCACAGAGCTTGCAAAAAAAAGCATCCTAAAATTCATATAGACTCACAGAAGACCCCGGATAGCCAAAGCAATCTTGGGCAAAAAGAACAATGCTGTGGGGACCAACATACCAGATCTCAGATTATATTACAGAGCTATAGTCAAAAAACCAGCATGTTATGGGCACAAAAATAGACACATAGATCAATGGAATGCAATAGAAGACCCAAACAATTTCAGCCACGTGATATTTGACAAAGGTGCTAAGAACACACGTGGAGGAAAGAGCATCTTCAACAAATGGTGCTGGCAAAATTAGATCTCAACCTACAGAAGAATGAAACTGGACCCTTATCTTTCACTCTGCACAAAAGTCAACTCCAAATGGATCAAAGACTTTAATATAAAACCTGAAACTCAGAGACTGCTAGAAGAAAACATAGACACCCCCCTCCAAGATAAAGGCATAAGAAAGGACTTTCTAAATCAGACACCAGCTGCTCAGGCACTAAGGTCAACAACCAGTGGGACCTCATTAAATTACAAAGCCTCTGTATAGCAAAAGAAAGAACCAAGGAAGGGAAGAGGAATCCCATGGGAGAAAATCTACCAACTACACATACAACAGAGGATTAATATCCGTAATATACAAAGAATTTTAAAAAAAGACCCAATAAAAAGATGGGCAACAGACCTAAACAGAGTTTTCAAATGAAGAAAGAAAAGTTACTAAGAAGCACTTTAAAAAGTGCTCAACATCTTTAGTAATTACAGAAATTCAGATAAAGATCACTCTAAGAGTCCATCTTACTACAGTCAGACAGGCGAAGATCAACAGAGCAAAAGACTCCAAATGCTAGTGAGGATGTGGAGAAACAGGAATGCTCATTCACTGCTGGTGGAAATGCAAACTCATGAACCCCTGTGGAAAGCAGTGTGGAGAACCTTCAAAAGACTGAAAATGAACCTAGCATGTGATTCACTAATACCACTCCATGGCATATACCCAAAGGACTCATCATATTGTAGAGATACCTGTTCATTCATGTTTCTTGCTGCTGTCTTCACAATAGCTCAGAATGTCCCTGAACTGATGAATGGATAATGAAAATGTGGTACATCTACACAATGGAGTTCTACTCAGAAGAAAAGATGAGATTAGATTTGCAAGTAAATGGATGGAACTAGAGAGTGTTAAGTGAAGTAACAAAGACACAAAAGCAAATGACATATGTTCTCTCTCATTGGGAGATTGTAGCACCAGTCCATTGTATATGAGTATATCAATTCTGATGTAACACCAGGAGCCAAGAAAATGGAAAGGATAAATGGAGGTAAAGAAGGAAACCTAAAGGGGGGAATAGTAGGGAACAGATGTTACCAGGGGGTATGTGGGGAAAGTGGGAGGGTTTGGCAGGGAGGAGAGGAAGGAGGGACATGCAAGGGGACATGGTGTGGAGTGGGGAGGGAAGTCAGGAGAGGGAGGATGGGGATAATGGGCGTGCTGGTACTAGGGAGGGAGGAGGGAGGCTGGATGGGAGAAAAAAGAGACGAATGTATCTTCGGTGCTAGGCAATCTAGAGGGAAATGTGATATCCTTGAAACCCAATGAGAAATACACATACACTGTCTGAATATTAGTGCATATGTATACCTGGGAGCTGCTTGGGAAGGAACACAGTGCTCGACAGAAGAGACCTCCCTTTTAGTGGTTGAAGGTGATCCAGGCAACTCCCAAAATAACACAGGCTATTGTCACACCTCTTCGTTATCTCCCTCTTCATTCACTAATAGACAAGACCCAACTCCTGAAGATAGAACATACTTAGGATACAGGACTTGAAGCAATGGAACACGAACTGGCCTGGAAGCCTTCTAACCGAAGTCTGGCTATCATGTTAGATGATGATATACAAACTGCTAACGGAGAAAATCAGTGGTCCAACCCCGCCTAATAACCATAACAACCATCATGGCAAACTACTATTGGTACAGTAGTGTGTGTTATCTGGGGGCAATCAGCAGCTATCTAATTGGACTTAAAGCCCTCTCAATGGGAGGGAACTCATGGGTGGCACTGTAAACTCAGCATGGCAGGAGAGAACATAGATCCTAGAAAAAATCCTATCTCATCTAGACAAAGGAAATTTCTTACTGTATGCTAAATATCAATCTTTATATTTACAGAGAGGCATACTGTACACCAGTCATCTAAGAAGCTTCTTTTTGCAACAGATGGAGGCTACTGCAGAATATCTGGTCAGACACAGAAAACATGTCTGAGCGATGTCCAGTACTAGGTGACACATCTACAGTTGAACCTCTACAACTAAGGCTCATGGAGCATAGCAGAACAAGGGGTAGAGAGAAAACCAATGCTTCCTTCAACCCTCACCAGTGAAGCTTCCTTTATACAACAGAGTGTGATGCACACAGGGCCACAATTCACCAAGTTTTAAAGAATAAGAAACTGCAGAATGTAGGATAGGACTCCTATGTGGAAATATCCACCCATGGCTCAGGGACCATTGTAAAAGAGGGGTCGAAAAGATTGTAAGAGCCAGGGCTGGTTCATGAACACAGGGAAGCAGAGGCTTTCAGGCCACTGAAAGCTTGCACAGGTGAACTTGTGGCAGTGGTGGCATTGAGCACAGGATCCATGCCAACTCAGTTAAGCAAGGGCCCAAAGGGGAGGAGAGAACTAGGTGGCAGGCCAGCCCTAGACTGAGAACTATTGGAGACTGACCGCTGCTGGGTGAGGGAGAGTATGCCTTACATACAATCTCTAGATCATTTTACTAGACCCCAGTGGATGAATTTACACTGAAGGACATTTGGGTACAACTGCCTGAATGGATAGG